AATGCTTGGAATTGTGAAGAACAGTTTGTGGAATTTTTGTAATTTTTGTACAAAGTCTCAAATTTGGACTTATATTGGTTTTGTTAGCTAAGGAGCTTAACTTTAACAAAAAATTAATGAACCTTAAAAAAGAAAAAGAAAAGTATATACACAAACAATTTACATCTATTGGGGAGGGCCCAGTGAATTAGTAAACTGGGCGAAAGCATGCGCACAAGCTTTCACCCCCTCCGCCAACACCGTGAAGGCCTCTGCCATTGTTGCAGTTGCGGTAGCCATTCGCTCTGTGGCAGCAGCCATTCTGCTTATTGCCTCAGCATTGGAGCGGTTGGCCTCCGCGTTGGTTGCAGCACTTTCAGCAAGCCTCTAAGAAAATAAAAGTTTTATTAATAATTCAATACAAATACAGTATTGAAAAAATTACCTTTTCTGATTCGGCCTGTGCCTCGGCAATTCTTAAAAATTTCGCCTTTGTTGGCGATTCTTCCGCACGTTTCCGCTTAGCGGTTCTGCGCGGTGTTTGCCTCGGCGTTTTCGGAGTTTCGCACCGAATTTCCGACTCGCCATCCGACACCGTTAGTGGAGGAATTACCATGGTGTCTTCCTCCATGACTAAGCGGAAATTTTCATCCGCCGCCCCCCAATGTTAATTGCAGTTCCTAAAAATAGCATAATGAATATTGCAATATGATTAACATATTGGCATGGGCTTTTAATACGGTACAATTCAACTTACCTCTTCCATGGGAATATTCTCCTGGACATCCGGTTGCCCCTCCATATAGCTGCTTCCCACTAGAGCTATTACCCGCTTCTCCAATTCGTTCAAGGGAGGCTGTTGAAGCGGTATATTCCCCGTCAATGCTTGCTCCCTCTTACGATCACGAACTCGCGTCGATGTTCGACTTTTTAGGTCGCGCCAGACCTTTTGCAAAATAGAAACACACTTTCATACTTTACTATTCTTTGGTGTAGGCCGTTTTCGGAAATGCCTTACTGCAAAGCACCTCTCCTTATACTTAAGTATATAATAATGTCTGATTTCAGCAAACATATTTTTGGAATCAGAGGTGCGATGTTTTGCAGTAATGCATTTCCGGAAATGCCCGTACTTCATCACTTATACTTACATTTTGCCATTGCTCCACAGATTTGGCAGCCCCCCCAAGAGAATTTAATTTATCTGCCATCTCTGCCCACTTTTTGGTGTTCTCCAACTTGCCATGGAGCTTCTGGAACTTGCCGCTCGCCACATTCGGGTTTTCACCCAGAAAGTCAAGCATCGCGCTTAACTGCTCCCCCGATGCACGGCTCCTTTTCGTCGGCTGGATAGACATCCTGAAATAAAAGAAGTTCTAGTAAATTCCAATTAATAACTAAAATAACTAAATACTACCTTTTAAAATTGCAATACGTTGCTGGCGCTAAAAATTCCGTTTCCGCGGGAAGGAAATAAGTTTTTTTTCTTATTCCTCTTTGTACTTTTCGCATATTTGACATTTATCTCGACTGAGATGCCACATTTCATCATTTTAAATAAAAAGGAATAATCAGCTGTTTTTCGCTGTTAAGCAAGAGTTAGAGAATCACACAATTGTTAGTGCAAACGGCAAAAGTTGTTATGTAACCTAACAATTTTTTTATTGCTAAGAGTTACAGAATCGCACTACAGGCATTGCCGCCATTTCTCCTGAGCGTACTAGAGTTCACCTGAAAGGGAAAATATTTGGTGAAATAGTGGGTTTTGTGGTTACTTTTATCATTATTGTTATTATTCTTTTCATTATAATTTTTTTTTGCCGCGTCGTTGAGGCTATGGTAAAGTTTGTTGGGTGATTAATACGATGTCAAATATTTAAAACATTTTCATCATGGTCTTGTTATTACGTACATTAGGAAACTTTTTGATGTTAGCGGTTAGTTTAATTCACTTATATAAAAAATAAATGTCTGACAGCTGTAAGTAAATCGAAAACCTAAAAACGAGCTTTATATTATTAAAACTTAAGTAGATGTCTTTTATACCTCTGTATGTACATATGTTTACATGGAAAAAAAACGATATATGCATGGGATGCCATTTTAATAAAAGTTGAATACAAATTTATTATTCGTGAAAGGAATTAAATTATTTCTGCCGCTATAATCAAAACTTCTAAAATCACCTCAGAGTTTGTCTCAAACGTCCAAGAATATTGTTGTTTATGTGTGCTTAAATTTTGTGGATTGCTTCTGTGTGGTTTTGTCATTAAGTAGTTTTCGTTGAATAGTTTAATGGTTTAGAAAACGCTCAAAGTGTTCAACGCTCCGTTAACGCTGTACCGCCCACAAGACAGGCATTCTTTTTGTGCTGCACTCTACCCCACAACACTCTAGCAGCCAGTGTTACTGTCTTCTCAACTATTTGCGTGTAGATGTTTTTGTTTTTGGTGCTTGTTTTCCGAAAATTGAATAAAATTTGTGGCAAATAAGTTTGTTGGCGGCTGCAGCGATGGCGTCATTGGCCAAAGCAGGGTAGGAGTGGTAAAATGGGACGTATGCTGCCAATTTAGATGGCTGAATGGTTTGCGTAAGTTCAATTGGAGATTGTAAGGCGTCTTAAAACAGGCATATGTAGGCATTTACTGCACTGTTGTGTGAGTGTGTGTGTGTGTGTGAGTTTGCTTAAGAGCGGTTACTTTAGGGCGCCGAAAACTTTCGATACTCAGTGTTGTTAAAGACTGTTTGGTTTGTGTATGCGCGTCGTTGGGCTGGTGTGCTTATTTGTATTTTGTTTTGATTTAATTTAACTCGTATATTTTAGAATTAAACTATTTAAGAAAGCCAAAGTCTGTGATAGATTTTACTTCTGACATTTATAAATATTTTCTTAAGTCAAGAAAAAAGTAAGGTAAATTTGGACAAAATTTAATCTGAAATGATATTTAGACAAGAAATCCCTGTGGCTATATTCGGCTAAAATTTGTTATCAAAAACACTATTCAGTGGCTATCTCTAAGCAAGTCCAACGAATCGATATAATAGTTGTATGTGATATGCCTCTAAGGAGTTTTGCCGAAGGCGAGAAATGGGAAACCAAAAACACAAAGAAAAATGTTGGACGCTGTTCGTGTTCATTTAGAGAGCAAACGTATGAACCTAAAGCAAAAAAATTTAACATACGTTTTTTTTCTAGCCCCATCAAACGCTTTCCGTGCATAAATTTAAGATTTTAGTGTAAATTCCACAAGTCCATAGCCGACTACTCGCTCACACATAACCTCATTCAGTGGCCAACATTCACTTAGGTCCATAATTGATGCGGCAAGCTCTATGCTAACAGCCTGCAGTCCATAAAAAAGGAGCGCAAAAGTTAGATTCAGTATACATACATACATATAAAATGCCAAGTCAGTCACTCATTCAGCCTGCTACCTCAGAGCGAGCAAAAACATGCTTCTCCGTTCTTTAAGGCTCAACGAATGAAATTGCCCACATTCCCAGCGCACATACATACACGAAGTATGTAGATACATACATATATCGAAAAGAGGTCTGCATCGGAAAGTACATATGTATGTTTGTAAAGGGTCAGTTTAAGATGGATAGAACATTTATTTATTTGAAAAATAAAAAACAAAATTTGATAACATAACTCCAAACCGAAAATATACTTCATGAGAAAAATAATTTCATGTGATTTGTTTTAATATGTATAATATATATAGGTGTATTTAGTTTCGGGCATTGAGGCACCGCGGCTGGCTGGATGTGGATGTGTTCGACCACTCCTTTAAGCAATGTGCTCCGTATCTCGGTAATGGTTCGCAAAAAGTTACCTTAAAAGATGTTCAAAGTTTCCGTTCTTTAGCTCAATCAATCATGAGTTCAATCGCATGATATTAGTGACTAATTGACTGACCCATTTCGAGAAATAACGCGTTCATCGAATGTTTCCTTAAATATGTCGATTGTTCACGCGCGGGTATGTGGCGCCAATATACATATTTCTCGTGCAACTGGGATACGAAATAATTTGAGGTCATGGCTCTATTTTGTTTGCATTAATAGTAAAGTTAAGACCAACGATTCCACCAGCTCATTAAGCACTCCAAAACGGAAGATTTCGTAGTTGTAATAGTATATTTTGGATGTCTCGTGAAATCTCTTTACTACAAATGCAGATATTTTGTTTGTTGGCATGTTCATGAGCCAAAACTGAGGCTCATTACTGAACAGAATATTTCGATAAAACAGTGAGTTGACATTCCCGAAATAAACCGTGATTTTCGATGCAAATTTGCATATCTTGCAGGCGTTGTTTTGGCACTGGTCTGTTGATGATAAAATGGCAAAATTAACTTACCGTTGCACATATGACTTATTTATAATCAATATCGTAAAATCAAACTTAAAAAAAAAATAATCTTTATATTTAGCCAAAACTCCGACAAAGTACGAAGCATTTTAAATAACGTACTCGGAATTTCCATGGTCCAAAAAAGAAACATTCGAAAGTTTCAGAAGAAACTTTGAAAAGTCCTAAAATGCCCCGAATTACTTTATAGAGGACATCATGTGGTTATATCGCTTAGTTACGCAAACACAAATTGTTCTTTTCTTTTTAGATACTGCAAATATTTGTTTTCCTTCTTCGAGTTTTCGTTCAGGTAGTCGCTTAAAATATATTCATGCAGATCTCTGATATCAAAATATACTAGTGGATTTCTTTTCAAAGAATATTGTGTGCCGCAATGAAATATGTTGTATACATTGGAGCGTTTGTGAACCCGATAGTCTGCTTTTCTTCGTATGTGTGAATATTGATAGGCTTAGTTTCAGCGTTTATGCACGCATCAATAGATATGTTTGTGAGCTTACTGGATTTTCTCTGCCATATGTCTGTTATTCAGTGTATTTTTCGTTTTTTTTTTTTTTTTTTTTTTTTTTAATATTTTTTTTTTTTTTTTTTTTTTTTTTTTTTTTTTTTTTTTTTTTTTTTTTTAAGGAAATAGAGAGCCACAATTTTTACGAAGAGCCTTTATTAGAAGATAAAAAATCTTGCCAATAATTTTGTCGGACTTATATTGACATTGATATATGTACGTACTATACATAACTACATGTTCACTTGAAGGCATTTTTTGTTTCCCAAATGTGGATTGCCTGAGCAGATGAACAGCAAAAAATTCTCTTTTTTTTTCGGCACTAATCTTGCATCGATATTCAACAGTTAAATTTAGCATACCCACGAGACAAAAATTTCATTAATTAATTGCTGTAACTGGAAAGAATTATAAGTGCTTGGGTATAAAAACACCACATGAACCAAACGGGCAGATTTTAGACGCCCATTTGCTTCAAACGTATAACTAGTAGTTTAGAAAACCTTTTTCGAACAGTATACAGAGATTCGCATTAACAAAATGTATCTACATTTACGAATAGTCGAAATCATATGTACATTAGACTGCATCAGTCCCCATACCAAAAAAAAAATCGGTACTGATTTTCTAATGGAATTATAAAATCTATTATATTTTAGCTTTTAATTATTGGACTCAACCTCCGATTTGGAAGGCTCTTACTGAACTTAATACAATTTCAAAAAAGCTAAATATCGAATTTTCTATCAGTAGGCAGTCCTACAGAAGTTTAATTGAATCTGTGTACTCCTAGTGTTGTTCTTTATTTTTCACCTAGTAATTTAATTCTAGTCTGTAAGATTGTTTGTAATCATAGAATCAATAAACGCTGAATTGAATTGAATTGAATAATGCCTAAGCTTTCATTGTTGAGAAGCACTACCACCTGCATTGTTATTCGAATCATTTTTTTTTTCATGTTAAGCACTCTGAAATTGTTCCTGGGTATGCCTGGGTTGAATTCTTGGGAGTCTCCAAGACTGCCGGAAGTTTTTGTGGTGTGCCCTCTCGACGTGGGTCTTACTCTACAACCAAGTTGTCAGAAATTCGTGGATGAGGAGTCGGCCTGCGTCTGTGCATGCTGAAGATGGACCCCAGTTGTTTTGCGTCACTTGTATTTAGTATTATTTTTTCCAATGAGGGTTGTACCCACTTGCATAATTACCTGGATATTCCAACTTCTCAACTGTTTTCATATGTGATGCCTATCGCAGAAAAAGATCGATGATAGACTCCGCTCGTCGCGGCTCTTTAAATAGCCGTTGCAGAAGATTTCAATAGCGCTCTCTTCGTAAGTAGCTGTGCATTTCAATACTAAAAACTCGAAATCGGTAATTGGCTTTAGAAGATTGTATCCCGGTAAAGACTTTTGGATATGTGCGGGTGATCCTGTTTCTATCTGCAGCAATATCAGTAGACGCTGTTCACCAGGTACTTACGCTACAGGCCTATCTGACAGAAACGTGCCTTAAGATACCGTTGTAGGGTTTTTATGTCATAGGCGAGCTTGGTGACATGAATTTTTCTGCGGATTACTTTTCGTATCTTTAATTTGTAAAACGTGGGTCGTCTTTTGGGACAGATACTTATACGCTGGAGCCTGATAAATCTAAATGTAACATTTAGCACTTTCGAACATATTTTCGAAGAGCGTTCATTCTATCGCATTTAGCAAATGTACATTTACGCGAGCTTGAAATCGTATGTTTTGACAAACAGCCGTATTCCAGTCGCTTAGCCAGTTCCGTATCTATCAC